GTTGGACAATCTTCACTGTAATTGATTAATTCTGTTTGTGTACTTAACAACAAACAGAATATAAAAGAAATAAAATTAAATAAATAAAAAAAGATTTTATTTTGTTATAAAAACAAAATTAAAATCTGATTTAATAAACAAATAAAATAGAATAATAAATTAAACAACTTACTTGATTAATTTGTTTGATTAATAATCTGATCAAGTCTAGTGTTTGACACTGTGTCCTTAAGACAGATTCGTCCTCTCCACGGTGTTTTCAGAATGTGGACGTCTATCTCTCAGGATGAAATGATTAATTACAAACAATAGTAACACTACAAATTGTTTGCCTAAGGAACACACTAAGTGTTTACACTCTTTCTTACAGAAATTAAATGCAGCAAAATGCAGAGATCTATAACAGAAGATGGAGTACGAAAATTGGAGTAAAATCCAAATGATGGACTAGTCTATTTATAGAGATAAAGTAGTGGCTTGGTGGCTGCTAATTTTGAATTAAACAGGTACAATACCTGTTCAATTTAAATTTAAATTGGTTTGAATTTTAACCAATTCAAAAACCTGTTTTGATTTGAATTTGAACAAAACAAATTCTGTTTGGACAGACTCGGATCTGTCTGTCAAGAGGTGCAACAATTTGAATTTAAAATTTAAATATGCACAGAAATTCGGAATGAATTTTTGGACAAATTTTATTTCAAAAAATAAAAATTAAATTCAAACGTTTTTGGCCCAAAAATATTAGTATTGGGCCGAACAAGCCCAACCTCACACCACGCACCCGCGCCCAGCCCAGCACGCTCGACTAACGGCGGCGCGGGGCGGTGATTTTTGGGTCCAATAGGTCTAGCCCATAACCTCCCTATCTAAAACAATTGGGCACCCCTTGGGGCACACCCCAAGTTCTAATCCCCTGTCTTATAAATCCACTCAAAACTTCCCATCAAATCAATGTGGCACAAGTCACTTTTCAACATTTAAGGATTTTCCACCAAAACTCTATTTCCATGGAGCATACTTTGACTTCAATTTTCCATTCACTCGGTAATGGTTTTGAGCAACCAAATATGCCACGTGAATCATAACACAACATAGAATGCGTTACCACTTTGACCCGCGAAAAACAACACACGGGTCCCACCTAAATAATAGACCAAAGTTAGAAAAAATTTTGTTATATACCCTGATTTTTCCAAACCATTTCCAACATTTTTTAATATAGAACCAAACCAATCATGTATTAGAACTACTCCAAACCAACTCAGTGTAGCTTGGGTTGGTTCGATTTAAAACCAAGTACCATTATATTAAAAATAAGGGCAAATTACATATATCCCCTCGAGGTTTGGCTAAATTACAGATACCCCCTGAGATTTGAGAAATTACGAATTCCCCCTGAATGCTATATTTGCATAAGAAATTAGGGGGTAATTTGTTATGAAATATAAACCTCAGGGGGCAAATTGTTATGAAAATAAAAACCTCAGGGGGCGGAATGTAATTTCTGAAACCTCAGGGGTATCTGTAATTTAGCTAAACCTCGAGGGATGTATATGTAATTTGCCCTAAAAATAATTGAATATATCAATAATAAATAATTAAATAAATAAATCTTTAACTTTGAAATATTTTTTTTTATTGGTAAAAGAAAATTTTATTAATTTTTTTTAATGAAGAACAAAATACGATCAATAAAAAAGAGAAATGTAAAAAGCATCAAAAACGACAAAACTAATTCCAACAAATTTCGCACTAAAGAGAGAATCATAAGATTGCGTGCCACCACGTTGATAACGAACCAACCGAAGCTGACACACTGCACACTGGAAGCATCTAAACATAATATAAATAAAAAGTAAAATATTATTTAAAACTTAAAAATCAAAATAAAATTGTGTAAGTAAATTATTTTTAAAAAAATAATCATTAACAATAAAATGTACTTTGAGACACATATAAGCAAATTCGTTGGATTGAGTTGTTAGTGAATACATTATTTCATTTTTGTTTTTTAGGTCTTGTTTGTCATAATTTTAAAAAATTAAAAAAATTAAAAAGTCACTATTCTATTTAAATTATATCATCTTATTTAAGTCGCATCACTTCTCTACCATATTGCTTTACACTCAACCCATACCCAACGCATATTTCATAAAAAATAAAAAAAAATAAACTTATTTAAAACACCCCAAATCACCCCTCAATGTTGTACAATTCCAAGCAATCTCTTGCTATGGTCAACCATGACAATAATTTGAATTTTAGTTGCATAACGCTACAAAAGTGCCTAAATCTTTCAATATTATATATATATATATATATATAAAAGAGCAAATTGTACTAACGGTCTTTGTAGATTGAGACTTGTATTACTTTGGTCCTTAACTTTTCAATTGTGACACATTTGACCCTGAATTTTGAATCTTGCTCCAAATAAGGATAATTGAAGGTACTATTTCTTAATTTCAAAGGCAAAATTGCCAATTTGATAAAATATGAACTAATTTGATAAAAATAAATGTCAAAAAAATATTTTTGAAGTTTTACAAATTATTTTTACACACTAATGATAAAATTATGTAAAATTGATATATCTTTTAGACATTTATTTATTTATTTATTTTATTATGTGTTTGGATGATGATTATGTAATGGGTGGTTGTTTTTATTTTTATTAAATTAGTTTATATTTTTTCAAAAGTCAAATATGCCGACAACTTTGATATCATTATTAAACCAATCTATTAAATCAAAAAACCCAAAACTAAAAATATTTCATATATTAAATATATCGATTGCACGTTAAAATTCTAACAACCACTCATTACATAATCATCATCCAATAAAAATTAATTTGGTAAAATAAATAAATAAATAAATGTCTAAAAGATTTATCAATTTTATAATTTTATCTTTTGTGGGTAGAAATAATTTTAAAAAATTCAAAAATAATTTTTTGACATTTATTTTTATCAAATTAGTTTATATTTTATCAAATTGACGATTTTGCCTTAAAATTAAGCAATAATATTTTCAATTGTCCTTGTTTGGAACAAAATTCAAAATTTAGGATCAAATGTGTCACAATTGAAAAGTCAGGGATCAAAGTGACACGAGGCATAAACTATAGGGACTGTTAATGTAATTCGTCCTATATATAAATATGTTTGGTTATCGTGTTGGTTTGATTTAAGTAAATCCTAAATCAAGAACCAACCTAATCCTATTAGTTTGACAATTTGAAGATCTAAAACCAAACCAATGAATTCAAAAACCAACCCAACCCAACCCAAGAAGTTGATTTAATTCAGTCCTTCGATTCAGTGGATAATTTGAATACCCTAATTAATAGTACAAGAATTTTTGTATCTATCCATATATCTTGGTCTTCTAAATGGTTAAAAACAAAATTGTTAATTGTTGCTTTTGAAAAATCAAAGGGCACATAGCTTCATCAATACCAAATTGGTTTCTCCCTTGTTATAGTAGTTATTAACAGGGGTGTAAATTTGGCTCATTGGCCCATGGCCCATCTGAAGACGGCTCGCAGCCTGGTGCTACCAAACTTGGCCAGACTCGGCCAGGCCCGAGGCCATGCCTTGCTTGAGACTCTGGGCCCTCTGTTTTGAAGTCCAATTCGACCAGTGAGCCTAGCCTGCGGTTCGGCCTAATTGGCTCCAAAAATAATTTTTTTAATAATATTTACCTATTTTATTTAATGATATAAATTTTTGTAATATTTTATTTTATTTTGAAATAAAAATTATTCATTAAATATTGTCTATTTAATTTAATGATTGTAATATTTCATTTCATTTTGATATATATAAAATTATTTATTTAATTTTTATTTTTTTATTTTTTTTTGCGGGAAAAGACTATGTACGCACCTTATAACTAAATAAAAAAATGATATAATTTTATACTTTTTGAGTCATAACTACAAAACATAACATAACATAACTAAACATTCACTAATCATAACTAAAATAATGTCATGACTTAAGAAGAAAATTAATCATAACTGAAGTACAAAATGACATAACTTGATACCTAGTCATAAAAAAAATAAAAAAAAAATAGTCATAACAAAACATCACACAAGATACAACCAAATAGCTCTTATAAATCATAACTAAAATAATGGCATAACTAAAGAAGAAAATTATATAATATCATATTTTTTTAGTCATAACTAAAAAAACATAAGTCATAATTTCATATAATATCTATCAATTATGTTTAACTAAAAAAAAAAAAAGGCTTGCTAGGCCCGACTTGCGGCTCGAGCCCAGGTCTGTGGCCCAGCTCCCAACCCTATTTTGACTGGGCCTGGGCTTGAGCCTACATTTTGCCACGCAAGCTAGCCTGATCCAACCTGACCCTACTATCGATGGCAACTCAAATGGCCATATAGTGGGACGACTCGAGCTCAGGCCCCGGTGAGACGCGCCAGTTGGATCGGGCCAAATTTACACCCTTAGTTATTAGGTACGCCGGTTAAGATCTCTCAAAAAATTTATTGAATACAAAACTAAAAATTAAAAAGTTTTAGTATATTTTGGTATTTTGTTGTATTTAATGAATTTTTAAAGATTTTTATACAAATTTTATACTTTTTAAGTATATCTAGATTAAGTTGATCTAAAAGGTAAAAGAAATTGATTAAAAATGTTAAAAAAAATCACTAAAAAATATGGATTAAAAACTCAAAAAACTAATTTTGAAAATTCTAAACTAAACAAAGTTTTATGATACCATATTAAATTGTTAACGATCATTTCATATTAAAACTTAATTTGTTAGGCCATATTTGTTTTGCTCCAAGTGGTGGATTGGATTAGTAATATAATAAGGTCATGTTTGTACGTGAGACAGAATAAGAAGGGATTGTAATGTAGTAGGCTATTATTCTTCGAATAAATACCCTCTTGATCATTTAGTCGGTAATGATGTGAATCATGTATTTATTTTGTTATGAGATTAAATGTCTTACAATGACTTATTCTATTGAATCTCATATTTGGTTGCGAAACTATATAGATGGTGTGTGTGCTGTTTTCTGACCACACTGCCAAATAGGTACTCAGCTGGAGAACACCGGCAAAATAGATTGCACCCGAACGACCTGTCACAGAAAGAAAAGACTCTAGCAGTGGTTCTTCCACCCGAGGGCACTCTGACGATCAAGTCAGTAATCAATATCTCTCAAAGATAACCAATTGTGCTTAACTTACAAGCCAGAATACAAAAAGCATACCTTAGACCCACGAGGGTGCCTTACTTTAATAACCAACACTAACCTGATTCCGATAGAAGCCTAGTTTCTCTTGAACTTTGGCTCAAAGCTCATCCTGGACCTTCAAATAGATAAAGATAAACTCTCTTAGAGCTTTATCTTTATCTATACTGAGGTCCTCTTCCATTCTAAGACTCTTGTAGCTTATGCGTTTATCCCGGACTCCGTCATCTCCACAGATAACCTCGGCCTAGCCGAGATAATCTCGGTGTCATAACCAAGACACGTAGCACCTCGGCTGGTACTTCGGTGCCACCTTGGCCACGTGTTGTCATTCAAAAAATATGTCCCCACAACTGTCCCCTAAGTTCTATTACCTCAGTGTCCTGAAGTAATGAAATGTATATCATTCGAACCTATAGCACGTCGGCTAAACTTGCTCTATCCTTCATTATCGAGGTCATCATTCATCGGCTCTACATGACCAATACTTGCAGTCTGTTCAGAACCAAGAACCAAGTTTCTCAAGTTTTTTTAACTGAGATCGTTCTCTTAGCCGATGTCTTTGCTTCATTAAATCAAGAACTTCAAGAGTTCCAACACGCGTATGAGCTGTCATGTACAGTAATTCAACCATTTTCGCCACGCGTCCTTTCCCTATTGAACCGTACCTGACACGCGCCATCAAGTTACGTCGCATTTGCCTGCGCCGCCTAACAAACACATCGTCCTAGGCACACTAATTGCGTTTTTTCCGCCTTTTTGTGTTTTGATAAAAAATACTTCCCTCTCTCTTCGCCGTTTCACATTTGCATCTTCGTCTTCTCCAAACTTTCTCTCTCTAACACTCATCTCCCAAATCCTCCATTTTCATTCTCTTGAAGCTTTCTGCAACTGCTTCCATTCTTCCCCTTCGGCGAGGCATTCACTATCTTGTTACTTGTTCCACCGTCATTCAACTTCGACATTCATTTCACCGGCGTCACTCTTCATAGTAAGCCACTACTTTCCTTAATTTCAATTTCTTGTTTTACTTCAAACTTTGCTATGCTTGTATACTGCCATTGCAAATCTGTTCATGCTCTTAAATAGTCATTTGTGTGTTGAATTGCTCCATTCGTCATTTGTTTCATGATTCTGCTTTTTTACAATATGCTGCTGGTATACACATACACACACATGCTGTTTATATACTTGACGTTCTTGATAGCTTATCATTGTTCTTGATTTTTCTTTCTGGGTTCTGAACCAAATACATACTTGTTATTCTGCTACTGTCCTTGGCTTTGTATATCTGTACATGTTTTGTAAAATGTTCTTGAATTCTTGTTTTGTCTTCTTGAGTCTGAATCATGTTCTTGTTTCTGTTTTCTTGTTGCATTTTGCTAGATTCTTGCCTCCAATTTCCTGTTTCCACATAGATTTTAGGATTGGATTTTGATAGAAGCCACTATCCTTAGGAAAATTGGAACAAATTTTCCTAGATCTTAAAAAGCCCTTGCCCTTGCTTCTATTCTGAGTTTAAGCCGAGGTCCCTCAAACCTTAACAAACCACTTCCTTCTGAAATCCAACACCTTCCCTATTTAGCCGACGTTATGGGTATGTTTAGGTGGAGGGTAGACACCCCAACTAAGCTAGCATACTTTAGGTAGGAGTTTGCCATCCCTGCCGACGTTCATCTCAGGTTGGCTGGGGAGGAGGACTCCATCATGCCCAAAGACGACTCCATGCCATTCCCAGTAGTAGCCTTCATAGAGTGTGGACTTAGGTTCCCTCTTGACATCCTCTTCTGAGAAGTCCTTCACTATTATAAACTCAACCCAATGCAATTAGCCATTAACTCTTATAGAGTCATCAACGGTATCATTGCCTTAGCTAGCTGAAAAAATGCTAGGATAACTCTAGCCGACATCCAGTACTATTACACCATGTGTGGCCTTAAGTCAGAAAAAAGGCTACATTTATTACCTTAAGCCGAAGTCGATAGAATACAAACTCATCGCCGACCTCCCTAATTCCAACAAGGGCTCCGGAGACGATTATTTCATCGTCTCGGGCAACTAAGAGTTCCCTTCAGAGGATGACCTTCACCTCTACCCTTTAAGCCTTACAGTGTTCAGAGAGGGAGATAGTAAGAGCCAAGTGTCACTTTTACTTGCTTTCAAGTCTTTTTTACTTTGATATTTTTGTATGCTCTAACGTCTGTTTGTTTTATTTTGCAGTTTTTCCTCAACCACCCAAGGACTTCCGCAAATCCTTCTATCCCAACAAGGATTTCAAGAAGTTGTTGGATTTGCCAGTTGACCAGCGAAAAGCCCCTCTGCTGCTTAACTATATCCAACTTGCAAGTCCATTTTGCCCGACGTCCCGAAGAAGAGCAAGTCCCCTCCTTCTGCTACAACTTGTGCTATAACTTCCTCACCTTGACCAGATTAGGGATCAACCTCTGCCCCAGCAGAACAACCATCTACTTCAGCTCCACAACTGATTCCACCCTTTCAGCGCCAACGCCAACGTCGAGCTCTAATTTTTGCACCAGCAAGTTGGACTTGTAGCCGAAGACGCCGAAGTACCGAGGCGTCCTCTTACGATCCAGCCAACCCACCAACTGCACTTTTAACGATCTACCTTGGCACTAAAGTTACCATTGCCATCTCCACCGATGAAATGGGGCGACAAAAGGCCGTTGCCGATGACCTTCTTGCCGACATCCCCAATGTCGTCACAGTTCAATCTTTCCCTTCCCAGTCTCAACCTAAACTGAAGCCAAAGAGGCTGAAGAAAGCCCAAACCAAGGCAACGGTGACTCAGATTGACTCTAAGGACACCTTGCTAATCTCAAAAATGGCTGAGGTAGAAAAAAGTGCCTCTGCTGCCGAAAAGAGGCCCGCTGAGGCTGCTCCCTCTGAATCCACCCGGTCAAAGAAGCTGAGGTCAAAGTCTGCTACAACCTCGGGGTCCCTGAAATTTGATGTCCCCTGGGCCCCTCCAATCACCATCGAGGACAAACCAGTCAGAGTCGACGACAGCGCGACTGACATTGAAGTCGGCGTTGCCCTCTCTACTGCCTTGCTCCTTTCCAAAGACCTCGAACGCAACGCCGAGGTCAGCAAATAAGAAAATTTCACTCTGACGTTGCAACACTCCGTACAAGTAAGCCCCTAATACTTGGTACTCTTTGTTTTTTCCATACTTAGAGAGTTTTATTAACTTTTATTTTTTTCCATTTCTTCTAGGCGATCCAGTACGCTCACTCCTTCGTGATGTAGGCCTTTGACATTAAGAAGGAGTTGACCCATAAGACTAAGGAGGCCGCTGGCTTGCTCAAGACCATCAATAAGGCCGAGGCCAAGATGAAGACATTGATCAATCAAGCCAAGGCAGCCAAACAGGCCCCAGACGAGGCTGATGAAAGGGCGAGGGCTGCTGAGGCTGTCGCTGAGGTCCTTAAGGTCGAGAAAAAAGATGCCGAGGCCAAAATGATCGAAGCCCAAGCCGAACTCCGAGACGCCATGGCCACCAAAACCGCCGAGATCAAAGTGTCGGACGAGAAGGCCTACGCCGAGGGGGCAGTCGACGTCCGTGAGGACTACAAAAAACAAGTCAGAGAGGCATGCAACAAGGGTTTCACCCTTGGTTGGATGACTGCTCTAATGGAGTTGGCTGTTCCCAAGGACTATCCTTTGAGGGACGTAGGCCGACTTGTGCTTCCATTCTCATCCACTTCAAGCCAGTCTGAGGCTAAGGCTGGAGAGGAAGAAGAAGAGGAAGAATGAGAAGAAGCCGAAGATGAAGAGGCCGAGGTGGTTGTTGCTGAAGATCCTGCTGGGGCCAAGTCCCCAACTCTAAATGAGCAAGTCCTAAACTTGACTCAGGATGTGGAGGGCGAGGTCTCAAAAGGAGCCTCCCCCCAGAAGACAATATCCGAGGTGCCAATCGCCGAAAAGAGCATTGATCAGACTTTACGAGAGATCGACGCCAAGGTCGAGGCTGAGAAGGCTGCCGAGAAGATTCCCTAGTTGTCTTCTAGGGCCGAGACACAGCCCACCACCGACGCCGAGTAGTCTTGCTATAATCTTTTTCTTTGTACTTAGTAATTTTCTAAACAATGTTTTTAGTTTTCGTATTTGGCCGACGTGCCACTTTGTAATCTGAACAAGTAGTCTCTTTGTAGGCCGAAGTGCCCTTTTGCTTCTTTTAATGCAAGTACAATTTCTTCTTTGAAGTGTTTATATGTTTGTCTTCTTTTTACTGTCTTTTTTGATTCCATACTTAGAATAATTTGCATGTATTCAAGGTACACCTTAATTGTGCAATTTCGTTGGGGTAAAATACTTCGGGTATAACTGTTGACTGTTTATCTCGACCATGGCTTAATACTTGAAAACATTTGTAAAAATGTTTTCACAAGTGCTTATTTAAAACCTGCCACTTCACTTTCACTTATCAAGACTTCTGTCTTCCATTATCTTCCAAGTCTTGGCAATATGGTAATCTCGACAAGTACGTAGATACTTCTTTCAACATAACCTTGGCTTAACTACAACTTGTAATTTTTCCTTAAAAGATTTCAACAAGTATTAAACCAACCTTTTTTCAACATAACCTTGGCTTAACTTCGGCTTGTAAATTTTTAAAATTTCAACAAGTGTTAAACCAACTTTAGCTTGTAAATTCTAACTCCCGAGCATTATTCTCTAGCTTTCTGCCCCCTAATGTGAACTTAAGTTCCACTTGGGTGTAGACACCCCATTTTTTACCGACCTTAAGACTCAGACGTCATCGATTGAGCGCTCGATGATCGCGCATGTTTGTGCTCATTTCGAGTTTCCAGAGTTTTCGGCTGAGTGCCTTGCCTCCGGGCCTCTGAACTCTTTGTGTTTTGGCTTGGTTTATGGACCATGCCTTGTTAGCCTTTCCTGGAGGGAGAGAGAGGTCTGTAGACCACTTTTCGCTCTTGGAGACTAGTTTCTGGTTTCCGGAGCCTTCGGTCGCGCGTCTTGTCTCGGGACCGCTTAACGTTCTCCTCTTGGCTTAGTTTTCGAACCATGCCTTGTTGCCTTTTCCTAGAGGGACACAGAGGTCTTGGAGACCACCTTTTGTGATTGTAGACCACTTTTCCCTGATAGACCACTTTTGGTACCCGTAGACTAGTTTTCGAAACTTCCAGCTGCGCATCTCGACCCCGGACTCTTGTCTTGCATCCTTTTTGGTTTGTTTTTGACACAAACCTTGTTTTCCTTGCTTGGAGGGTAGAATAAGGGTTGGAGACCAGTTTTTCTCCCTGAAAACCACTTTTCTTTTCCGCCAGCCAGTTTTCTGGTCGGCCAACTAGTCTTGGTGGCTTTTGGACCACCAAAAGTGGTCGACAGCCATGCCACCACTTTGCTTTCTTGGTGTAGACCACCTCTCCCCCCCTGCAGACTACTTGGTCTTCTTGAAGACCACTTTAAGTGGTCGGTCGACCAGTGAATGTAGCTGGCCGACCACTTCAAATGGTCGGCAGCTTTCTTGCATTTTCTACAGAGTTTGTGGATGCCAGCTGTGCCAGTTGGAGAGCACATATTGCATCCTCCATACACGGGTATGGAGGGATTTAACGAAGCTTCTAGCTTCTCCAAGAAGCTTGAAGCTTAGAGTTCTATAAGAGGGAGACTCTCTCTTCCTTTTCCAGGTTGAGAAAAATTTCAGAGAGCTATACATATATCTCCCTCTCCATATTTCTCTCTCTCTCTCTCTCTCTCTCTCTCTATTTGTGCCTTAAAGTGTGTTGTTTCCTCACTTTTGCACCACAACTCCTAGCCACACACCACCACCTCTGAGCTGAGATTCTTAGAGGTGGTATTTGGGTCATAAAAGCTGGTTTTGGGTTGAAGAAGGTGCTGTTATTGCAGTGCTTCAACGGTAACCCCTTTTCTCCTTTTTAAGCTTTGTTTTGGTTACTCTTTTAGCCATCTTTGCATGCTTATTTTGGCTTGACTCTCAACTGTAAAAAGCTTCATTTTGAAGTGTTTGATATGGTTGTTTAAGGCTTTGTTTGTGTTGGGGGTGGTCTACCCCTCTTGGTGCCTAATTTTGCCTTGTTTTGAGCTATCTTTTAAAGCCATTGGGGCCACCTCTTTTGGGCTTTCTCACCACTGAAACTCAAAGGAACTTCAGTGGTGGAAAAGGTGTTTTGAGGTCCTAAATAGGAGAGGGTATCCCCTCTCCTTGTATTTTGGTTGCTAGCCTTGTATGCCTCATGTTTGAGCATGTTTATCTAGCATATGTTGGCCCCATCTCAGCATATTTTTGGCCTTATTTCAGTATGGCATACCTCTATTTTGGCTTAGTTTAGGCCACCCTTGCATGCTTTATACACTTGTAGTGTAATCCTTGCAAACTAGCCTTGTATGCCTCATGTTTTAGCATGTCTTGCTAGCCCTTTTTGGCTCTATCTCAGCATATTTTTGGTGTTATTTTAGCATGCCTTAGCTCTCTTTTAGGTTGGTTTGATAGCATCTTTCATGCTCCTTGCACTTGTAGTGCATTTCCATTCACTAGCCTAACATGCATCTTGTTTTTGACCATCATTCTAGCATGTTTTGGGCTCAACTCCAGCAAGCTTTCGGCCATGTTTTAGCATGCTTGAGCTCTGATTTATGTTGTTTTGGTCATGCATGCCTTGCTTTGTATAGCCATAGTGCATTCTAGCTCACTAGTCTTGAGTTTCCAAGTCACTAGCATGCATTGCTTGGGCTATTTGCATGATTTGGCATTATTTAGTATGTGATTTTAGAGCATGTTTCACTGCCATGTCTTCACATCTTTCACTCTTTCAATGCTTTGGAGGGTTGGTGCTTTATGCCTTAAATATGAGCTCATATGTATGCCATCTTGCCTAGGCTTTTGGGCCACCATTTCAGTGTGTATTTGGTCCTATTTTGCTATGATACAACTCTGATTTTTGTTGGTAAATTCATCTCTTGCTTGGTTGTGATAGGTGTAGTGTAATCCTCCTCATTGGCCTTGCTTACTTGATATTTTGGTCCTTCATGCTAGCTTGTTTTGGTTTGCTCCATGCATGTTTTAGCATCATTTTGACATACTCTAGGACTGTTTTGGGTTGTCTTGGCCATATGGTTCATGTATTGCATAGCTATAGTGCAAGTGCCTATGCTAGTTTCAAGTTTTGAGTATCCTGGCATGCTTCATTTGTGACATGTGCATCTTTTGGCATCATTTGGTATGATATTTCAGAGCATTTAGTGTTTCCATACTTCCATGTTTGTCACTCTGTAGGTGCTCTTGAGAGTTGCACCTTTAGGCCTTGTTGATGAGCCATTGCATGAGCATATGTTCTTTGTCTTTTTGTGCCTAAGTTTTGGCGTGAATTGGCCACTATTTTGGAGCATCTTAGGTCTGTCCATGTGTGGTTTGACCATTTGAGCATTGTAGTGTATGCCTCATGTGTGATGCACTTCATTTGCCTTGAGGCCTTAGCTTCTAAGATTGCCATGCATGCATTATTCACATGATAGTATCTTGTGCATGCCATTAGCATTGGTAGATAGCATGTTGTTCGCATGTTGTTGCATTGCGTTGTGTTTACATGTTGTTGCATGGCATTGTGCTCGCATGTTGTTACATTGCATTATGCTTGGAATGAATGTTGTTGCATTGCATTATGCCTAGAATGAATATTGTTGCATTGCATTGTGTTTGGATAGGGTGTTAATCCAAACACGAGGAACGTTTCATACTTGAAGTGATGAAACGTGCCTGATTTCTCGGTCGCCAATGCTTTTGATCATGCATGATAGAGTTTAAGGCTCTTATTTGTTGTTTGTTCATTCATCGACATTGAAATGTGTAGACTTGGCTCTTCGGCCATCGTGCATTGCGATGCTCGATTGGTGGTCCGAGAGTCAAGAACTACACTCCCTTGAGCTTAAGAAATGATAGGGAGGGTGGTTGTGCACACATATTTTGCAAATACACTGTCGTGCCCCTTCTTATTCTCTGTTGCAGCAAAATGGAGTTGTGCAGCATTTTCTGGTCGGCTGACCAGTAAAAGTAGTTGGCCGACCAATTTTTCTGGTCTGCAGCATACTTAGGTGGTCTACAGGTGGTCTACACCACCATCAACTAGTCGGCAGCCTTCCTGGAAGTCTCCATGATGGAGTAGAAGCTATCTGGAGGCTCTTGCAGTGTTCTGAAATCAAATGCAAACAGAGGCAAGTTGGGGCGTAGCAATGGATTTCCGAGCGAGGAACCAAATGCATGCATTGTTCAACTTTCCAAAGCAGAGCCTAGTAGTGTAGTTTAATGCTTATTTGTCTAGCTTGAATTTGTAATTTAATTAATTTGTTAATTAGTTAAAGTGGTGTAATAATTAGTTGTAGCTAGTTATTCAATTTGTTGTGTAATAACTAGTTTAATTAGATTAATTAGACTAGTTAGATAGCTTAACTTAGTATAGCTAGCTTAACTTATTCATTCGGACCCTCCGTCGAGAGGGCACAACTGTTGTAATTAGTGTGTGTGTGTGTGTGATGCATGTCCTCCAACCCCCATTTCTTTCTCCTTTTTATTTACCGGCTTTCGATGGTTAGTTTTAGGGCACGTTTCAATTAGCATCCTTATGCTCACATGTTTGCATTTATTCATCTGTATTGCATGCACCAAGCTCGGTGCATCATTCGAGCTGCATTGTATTTCAATTTCTATTTGAATACATGTATCAATTGTCGCATTCATATGCCATCTTAGAATAGCCGAGCCTATCTTAGTTGCATTTTTGCATGTGTTGCATTAGGCATTGTTTGACATAGCTAGGATCATGTATGATTACTAACTAGCTTCTGTTTTGGCTCGGAGTACAGTATGAGTGTTTATGCTTTAGCATACTTGGATGTGTGTAAGTGACTGCCATGATAGCATACTTCCCATGAGACTAACTGCTTAAGTGATCAACTGCTTGAATGCCTGTGGGTGGAGGCTTGATTGCCTAAATTGGAACAACTCGATGATTGTGAGT